CCCCACGTGACCGCCCCGCCCATGGACACTTACTGCGGGACACCTGGATCAGCTCCGTGACACTGAACACGCCGGACGTGACGAAGCTCTCCTGGAAGTCCGTGGTGTCTGCAGTGGGCGGGGGTCAGGGGTCAGCAGGCCGGTGGCAGCCTCGGTCCTCCACACCGCAGCCGGGAGCCGACCGCGACGCTGTGACAAGTCACTGGCCCTGGCGGGGCCACGGTTCTCAGGGCACCGGGTGGCCCTGTGGGGGGCGCGAGGCCCCTCCTGTGCGCTTCACGGAGGGTGGAGGCTGCCGCAGGCCGCCCGACCACGGCAAGGAAGACTCAGGGCGCCCCAGGGGGCGGCACAGGCCACACTCCAGGGAATCGGCTCGCCCACTTCCTGCTGACCCAGACGGTGCTGGGAGCCCCGCCCCGCCCCCTCCAGTTTCCTGTTTGTACTGCAGCGCCAGGGTCCACGTCCGGGGCAGGGGAGTCCCTTGGAATGGGATCCTCCCCGGGGAGGTCATGGACAGGGTCAGGAGCCCGCTGGCACAACCCAGCTGTCACTGCAGGCGCTTCTCCCCTGCCACACCCACTTTCCCGGGCATAGCCCGGGATGGCAAACAAAGCCCCTGAAGTAAGCAAAGTGCTGCCCAATGACCAGGGACATCTCAGCGCCCGCCCCCAGACAGGGGCTCCACCCTGACCACGCCCCCAGCCCCTCACTGGGGGTTCTAGGCGGGGCTCCACCTCCGCCCCCGCCCCCGCCCCCCCCGGGGGCTTCTGGGGGGGGCTCCCCCCGGCCCCCGCCCCCAGCCTCTAACTGGGGATTCTAGGCGGGGCTCCACCCTGACCACGCCCCAGCCCCTCACTGGGGATTCTAGGCGGGGCTTCACCCTGACCACGCCCCCAGCCTCTAACTGGGGATTCTAGGCGGGGCTCCACCCTGACCACGCCCCAGCCCCTCACTGGGGACTCTAGCGGGGCTCCACCCTGACCACACCCCCACTTCTCATTCGGGTATTCTGGTCGGGGCTCCACGCTGACCACGCCCCAGCCCCTCACTGGGGACTCTGGTCCTGAGTTGGGCTGACTATTGGGAGCTACTCATTACTTAGCTTAGGTTACCCTGGAAGCCAAAATCCTCCTGCCTCAGCTCACCAGACTCACCCAGCGTGATGGGCTTGCTGTCCTCCTGGTCAGACCCCACTCCTGTCCGAGGGCTGCTGCTCTGCTCTGCATCTGCCAAGATTAGAGGAGGACAGCTGGTGACGTCACAGGGTACTCTGCGCAGGCCAGGCGTGAGATCTGGAGGTTCAGATAGTAGCTCTGCCACTTGTGGGCCGCACGGCCTCTGGGTGTCCGGCTGCCTCCATGTTACAGGTGGGGACACTGGGGCTTCCCGCGAGGGGCCCTGGCTTCCGGCTCCTCCCCTGCACTGTCCCTCCCTTTTATCTAAAAACAATTGCCTCCCTGGCGGACCACTGAGGCAGAAAAGGAAGGGACCTGGGATGGGTGCACAGGTTGCCGTGCAGGACCAGCCTGGCTGGAGACTTCTGGGAAGGTCCCAGCTCCCGGGCTCCTGCATGGGCCTCTGATGCAGGGGAATTCCTCCATAGGACATGCTGACTGACCCTGAGGCCCAAGGTCATCATAGTCAGTCAGGGCCTTCAGGTCAGAGTTCATCTCCGTGACCGATGGGGCCTTCTGCAGTGTCCCTTGTAAAATTTTGGCAATAAACCAGAGTGGTATGCATGCTAGGCGGGGCTCCATCCTGACCACGCCCCAGCCCTTCACTGTGGATTCTAGGTGGGTCCACCCTGACCACGCCCCCAGTCCATCACTGAGGATTCTCAGCGGGGCTCCACCCTGACCACGCCCCCAGCCCCTCTCTGTGGATTCTAGGCGGGGCTCCACCCTGACCACGCCCCCAGCCCCTAACTGTGGATTCTAGGCGGGGCTCCACCCTGACCACGCCCCCAGCCCCCTCACTGGGAACTCTAGACGGGGCTCCACCCTGACCACGCCCCAGAAAGAAAGCCTAAGAGAAGGTGGGGCTGGTTGGCAGGTGTGTTTTGAAATTGCATCAGCGGCTGCCCCCATCTTCCCGGATCCACCTGACCTCATGTGCAGACTCAGTCTACACAGCGTGGGCGTCATGGCCGCCTGTCCGTCCTTCCCCCGCGGGGAGGCAGAGCCAGGGCGGGAAGGACTCGGAAGACCCGGGACCCTCTCCCTATAAACTGGCGGTGATGGACAGACGGACCTCTGGGGACATGGATGGCAGGAGCTGATGTGCCACAGTTTTGACTCAGTTACCTTCTCTCTAGATCTTCAGGCTCAGCCATGGAGGGTGGGTGAGCGATGGTCACGTGGCCACGCACCGCAATGCTGCGTAGGCCTCACGTCTTAAACACGGTGGCTCAGACCCACACTCAGGGTGCTGCTCTTTTGAAACGGCTGTGAGGGGCGCAAGCCCAACCGTGCCCTGGGCCTTTGCCTGCCAGCGCCCTCTCTCGGCTGCTCCCTTTTCCCAGCATGCCGTGGGCAGGTCAGGAATCTTGGAAATCCCCCTTCTCCGCCCACACACATCCGGTTCTGTTCCAACTTGCTCTGCCCTGCAGTCGCTGCCCACCCCTGGCTGGTTTCCCTGCGAGCCTGGCAGGAGAACCTGTGTCAGTTAATTCTGCACACATCTGACGCCTGCTGTATACACACAAGCCTTGTCCCAACGGGGCTCCCAGCTGGGGGTTTCTTCCAATAAATCCGCAGCAGGAGTGACAGCATGAAGGCCACAGGCTTGACTAAAAGTGGGCTTCCCTGGTGATGCCGCAGGCAGGCAGGCAGGCAGGGACGCCACGGCCCACCCTTGAGTCACCGACAGACACCCCTTAAACCTCCCGCCAGTCCACTGCTACATAAACAAAAGTGGGGACCAGATGGGAGCTGCAGACACGCAGGGAGCCCTGGGGACGAGGGGTGGTGGCTGGGCGGGGTGACCTTCCGGCTGGCCTGCGCTCTCCAGCTCCAGCCGGACTGGGCCAGTGCCAACCCATCCTCCCGGCCTAGTCCTCCCAGGAGTCCTCCTGACCCCGCTGGTCACTCCATGGCTGCTGTGGCCGCTGCCCTGGCTGGTGGCGGAGTCCAGGGACCCCAGAGGACACCCGGACCTGGTCACCTGTGCATGTGGCCTGGGAGGCACATGTCTGGTGACATCACCAACTGGGCGGCCATTTCCTGGGGCTTCCAGATGCTTCTGTGGCCTAGGAGGCCATTTTGTGGCTGGGGAGAGCCATCTGGTGAAGCCCTGGACACAGCCAAACCCTGCCCCATGTAGGGATGACCAGGAAAGAGACCCCGGTGCAGGGCACAGTGGTTCAGCAGCCTCTGAGGTTAAATTGTAGGCACCAAATTGGGACACAGGGCTAGGTGGTAGTGGTGAAGGATGAGATGATGGGATGGGGCCAGGTGGCTTTGCTGGGGGGATGGGGCCAGGTGGCTTTGCTGGTGGGATGGGGCCAGGTGGTCACGGTGGGGATGTGGCCAGGTGGCTTTGGTGGGGGATAGGACCAGGTGGCCATGGCCTGGGCCTCACCCCCAGCCTGGCAGTGACACACTGTGGTCCTGTCACCCGGGTGGCTCCTGGGCTGTGAGATGTGAGGTTAAAAATACCAGACAGAACTTTAGTCCTCTCCAAAGTCAAATGTGTCACCCGCCAGCCGGGAGGAGCTGAAAATAACCCATGTTTACACTCAGCGGATTCCTGGCTTCCCCAGCGCCCCCCCCCCCTTCCTGGCCAGTCCCAGGAATCCATCTGTGGCCGCAAGGGGGCCAGAGCCAGACCACGGCCCTGAGGACACCCAAAGCTAACGGAGGAGGCTCCGGGGTCCCTCCCCGACTCTCCACAGGGTCACAGGTCAGAAATCTGGACTGGGATGTGGGAAGACCGGCCTGTGCTGTGTGGCTCCAGGCCAGCTCCAGCGTCTCTGAACTAGGAAGAGGTTCCTGTGTGTGTCATGGCTTCCTATGCTGTAGGAGAAACACTCGCCAGCTGTCCTGGCTAAACCCTGTGCAAGCATTCGCCCTCGTTTCCAGAGCACAGGGAGTGCAGCGCCAGTGCTGGCTGCTGCAGTGTGCGTGGATACTCCCAGGACCAGGGACCCCGAGGAAGGCTCTGGGTCCTAGAGCATCCTAGAGCGACAGGAGGGCAAGGGGTGGGACAGGCAACTCCTACCCTGTTAGCCTGGGAGGACAGAGCAGCTGAGAACCACGTGCCCCTAGCCCCTTACAGGGTGGGTTTCTAGGTGAAGCCCCACCCATGACCACGCCCCCAGTCATCAAGGGGCTTGTAGGCGGGGCTCCGCCATGACCACGCCCCCAGCCCAGGAGTGGGGACAAGGTGTTGGTTGGGAGTCCACACCCAGGCGGTTTTCAGTGACTTCTTTGCTGAGGTGCCCTCTGGTTTTCCTTGGGCCTCAGTTTCCTCAGCTGTCACAGCCACTGAGATGCTGTAACCCCTTTAGCACAGGTTCCCAGGCCGGTGACCCACCTTCCGCAGAGACCGAACACGGGGTTCAACCCATCCCCCTTAATCCGACTTTGAATCCTTTCCCTCCCTCTGGTTTACTGTCTTGTGAAGCACCAAGTTGGTACCAACTGTAGTCTTGCCCCTGTGATGCTCAATACACTCTCCCATTGTACAGATGGGGAAACTGAGGCTGGACAGAGTCCGCTGTGTTCACCCAGAGCGCACACCCAGTCATCCTCCAAACAGCCACTAGAAGGCGCTGGTGAGCACCAAGTGGTCCCCCAATCCCTGCCTGCTCCTCCTTCCCTCCCTCTGCGCCATCCACAGGGGTCTCCACCCTGCTCTGAGTATACAGTAGGTGCATGCATGGTGCTTGACCTGTAGATATTTCAGGTTCCCTTCACCCTATCGCTTGAGCGGAACAGACATGAGGTTTGTGATGGGAGACAGTGGTGACCCCCAATGCCCAGGCTCACGTGGAGGTCACCCTCAGGGGTCTCCTCAGTTGGGGTTCACCCTGTTCCTGTGCTCCGCCAGACTGCTGCCCCAGGGACCTGCCTGTTCCCACCCCGTTCTCCCTCATGGACTGACTGCCTGCACACAGTAGGTGCTTCATAGGCAGACGGGCTTGACCCAGTCTTCCTGCTTCTCTGCTGGCAGCCTGTCGAGCCCACTGCAGACTTAGAAACGGGGAAACTGAGGCCGGGAGGGGCGTCTGCCGGGTCTCTGCGGAGGAGGGGGGGGCGGGCGGTCGCGGCCCCTTTAAGCCCCTCCCCCACCCGCCGCCTCCTTATGTAATTGGGCCCTTGTCCTTGCGTAACCCAGTTACATAAGGAAGCCAGCCGGGAACGGGCGGGCGGCTCCATCCGGCAGGGACCAGTCCAGGGCGTCTGCGCGGCAGGGGGACAGCCGCCCCTCCCACCTGGGGACCCCCCAACTCCCTGCCACACCCGCAGCAGCCAGGGAAAGGGGCCCGTCCGTTCACAGAACCGGTCACGTTCCCATTACTCCCAACAGAGCACTGCGTCCCAGAGAGGGTATGCGCGCAGCCCAAGGCTGCACAGCGCTGACCTCACGGGTCGCCCCTGGGAGGCCTCCTCAGGCAACGGGTCCCCCTTGTAGCCTCCTCCTGTGCCCTCAGCCACGCCCCTCTTCAGCAGAGCCTGGTATGCAGTCGGCACTCAATAAATGCAGCCCCTGGTGACCTTCCAGGCCTCCAATCTACATTCCATAGGCGACGGGCTGTTTTAACGGCGCATCTAGTTCTCCGTGAGGAAAGGACAAGGTTGCCTCCTACAGGGGAAACTGAGGCACAGCGGAAGTGAAGCAGCGGGCCTGAGGCACAGTGCAGGCCAAAGCGCCCACAAACGGCCCCTCCTCTGCCCACACCGGGCTGGGGTCCCCGGGTCCCCGCGGTCCCCCTCTGTTCCTCCCACGTGTCTGGGGTGGGGCCTGGGCACACTGAGCCTCGGCTTCCATGGCGACGCTGGCCCTTTAAGGCGGTCTGTGGCTTGGGTCTGTCCCAGAGTGACCCCGAGGGGAGGGTGTGGCCAGGAACAAGGGGCCCATTCAGCTCTGGGGGGAGGAGGGAGGAGGGGAGCTGGGAGCGGAGGGGGCAGAGGGCGGGCCCTGGCCCAGAGACCGGGTGTGAGGACAGAGGGACACCTGGAGTGAGGCATGGAGGTCCCCATCCCCGCCTCTGCACCCCCACTTCTGACCCCCACCCCAGCTGAATCCACTTCCTTCCGCCCTAAAACCAGGCCCCAGAGGGTGAGGCACA